ATTTAGGGGCTAACTTATATTCAGCATCAAAAGCATCTCTGGCAGCAGTAGGGTCCTAGGATATGCTAAAATTGTTGTTTACTGTTCTTAAGTGAAATTAGTCCAGAAAATATATATCATAAAAATATATTCTGCTAATGAAAAGGTGTTTAGATATTCTGCTTATCCCAGGCTGAAACATCCTAGTTCACTGATGAACAGAGCAAATTAAATAGCCAAAATACCTAGGACCTAGTAGTTTAAAATCTGAAACAGAAAAATAGTAACATTTATTTACATAGGGTGCATATATAGTCAATATAATAATAATAGCTGATATTTATGGATTGTTTGCTATATACAAGGGTTTTCACAGTATTAACTTATATGATCCTCACAACAATCCAATAATATAGGCAATATTATTACCCCATTTTACATTTACATTTACTATTTATGTTTATTGTAAACTGAGTCACAGAGGGGTTAATTAACTTGCCCACAGTTAGACATAGTTAATTAGTGGTGAACAGAAAATAAGAAGGAAATGTAAATGAAATTTTTAAAATCTATAACATTTATTTTGGAGTATGAGTAATTATGATGAACAATTTTGAATAAGTTATCTGTTCATATGTTAACAAGTAATCAAAATATTTAAAAAGTAAACTTGTGGGGCACCTGGGTGGCTCAGTCGGTTAAGCGGCTGCCTTCAGCTCAGGTCATGATCCCAGGGTCCTGGGATCGAGCCCTGCGTCAGCTCCCTGCTCAGCGGAGAGCCTGCTTCTCCCTCTCTCTCTGCCTGCTGCTCGGCCTACTTGTGCTCTCTCTCTCTCTGTTGAATAAATAAAAACCTTAAAAAAAAAATTTTTTTAAGTAAACTTGTGTGTTGTCTTAAGAATAAAACTTATTAATTACCATCCAAACAAAACAATGTAAAAAACCTTAAGTCAAACCTCTAGCCATAGCAGACGGCTTACATTTTTAAACAGGAAGCTATTAAAAATGTGTTCTGCATTCCAGTACTGTTGTTGTGTGTTTGTTTTTGCTTTCAGGCAAAGTACCATAGGACTAGGTCCTACTTTGGAAATGCCTGTAGCCACAAAAAGCATGATCTAGCCACAAATAAATTAAGATTAAATGTACAGTAAGATTAATTCAAACCTTCTTTTCTCCAAGCCCACAGATAGTTTAGTTTCTCTTAGAAGAGGATGCTTCTACCTTTCCTGTGCTTTAAGAAAACAGGGGATTTCCCCCAAAAATAAAGAAATCCACACATTCATTAGGATCCCCTTTACTCAAGACATTCTACTTGAGATGAGAACTATACAAAAAAGTTTCTAAAGCATCTATAATTAATTGAGCAGATAAAACGTGAACTGTATGCTATGGAATGATCTCAGCTGTAGAGACCATAGAGCAGTGAGCTACTGCTAACCAAGAAGGGAAGACACCATAAGGTCGGAGGGAAGGGAGATCACTGTGGGAGAGTGAAATGGGAGGGCTTTGGGGAGAAGGAATTTGAGGTAGGCCTGGGAACAGGAGTGATATTTAGGATAATAGGAAAGAGGGATCAATTAAAACTGAATAAGCAAGGATGAGGAAGTAGGAAAGAAGCCCTTCTATTTGGGGAACAGGGGGTAGAAGAGTTTGACTGTACTGGATGTCTGTGTAGGTGTGGGAGTAGTAAGAAGTAAGGTTACTATGACATTTTTAGGCTAGACTGTGAAGAATATTAGATTCTCTCCACCCAACTTTGATTTTATCCTGTTGTCACTGAGAACTGAGGGTTTCTGAGTTGGGCAGTGATATGTTCAAACAGATGCTTAAGAAAAACTCATCCAACCATGAATCTTTAGGAGACAGGGAAGCAAAGAGGCAGGAGGGCTAGGTAAGGCATTATTGGAACATCATGTCACTCTGATGGAGAGCTATGGTTAATCTTTAATGACCCTTAGGAGTTTAAAAACACTTCCAAAGCACATACTTTAAACTTAGAGTTTAGAAACATACTTCCATTGGGCTTGCTGTTTGAAACTAAAATACACATTATAAATCCTTCAACAGAAAATCCTGCCAGTAATAACTGAAATACATTCAGATACCAACCACTATCACCACTTCCCCCGACCATCTTCTTACTTCATGGCCACCGTCAACTCTCACCCAGTTTATTTCAGGAACCTCTCTTTTCCCACCCTTTCTCCAACATATAGCAGCCAGGGTGATCCTTTTGAAATTTAAGTCAGTCAATATCACTCTTCTACTCAGAACCTCCAAGAGTCTCTCCTTCACACACAACACAGTTCAGAATCCTGATGCCGGCCTCAGAGCTGCCTCTGCCTTATTTACTACTCCCCCTCCCCCATTCTGCTGCAGCTGCACCATCTCACTCTCACACCAGTGTGCTCCTACCTCAGGCCTTTGCTTTTACTGTTCCCTCTGCCAGAAGTCTCTTTCCTATGGTATTTGTAGGACTAACTCCCTCCTTACCCACATAGGGGTCTATTCAAATGTTATCAGAGACCTTGTCCCTAACCATCCTGTACCAAATAAGACCAACTTTTATCAATTCCCTCTCTACTCTTAAAAACAAAAACAAAACAAAACAAAAACCCTGCTTTTATCAGTTGATTAGTTGATTATTATCTTCCCCACCAGAACATCAGCTTTTTGAGTGCAGAGAATTTTTTTTTTTGTTTATGGCTGTCTCCCCAGTTCTTAGAACAGCAGAGTTTTGTTTTGTTTTGTTCTGTTGCATTAGGTTTCCATTCTCCCCGTGCATTTGGGTGAGGCCATGTGACAGTTTCAGACAATGGAAAATGTATGCCACCCTGTGCCACTTCCAGGTCTGGCTTATTAAAGAAAAGAAAAAGAAGCAAACCAAGTGAAACAAAACAAAACCCCATTCTGCACATGATCTTCTATGCTCTTTCCCTTTCTGTCTGCTAGATGCAAATGCTCAGGGATACCTTGGAATCCACATGCTGAAGCTTGGCCTAGCGTCTGCCTGCCTGAGTCTCTGAATGACAGCACAGAGCAGAGCTGCCACTGACTTGAACTCCCACCTGTTGATTTTGAGCCATTTTACACGGCGTCTGTCTGTTAACATGCAATATTGGTCATGTTCTTACACTTTAAAAAAAATTCATTGCTTGTGTGAAGTTCAAATTTAACTGGGCATTTTGTATTTTTAATTGCTTAATCTGGCCACCCTTCAATAAGAAGAATCACATTTAAAGTCCTTACATATCCACACAGAAACTTGTACATGAATGTTTATAGCAGCCATTATTCATAATAACCAAAAGTTGGAAACAGCTCCAATGTCCATCAGCAGACAAATGTATGAACAAAATGTAGTATATCCACGTAAGGAATATTATGTGGCCATACTACAACGTGGATCAACCTGGAAAATGCTATGCTAAGTGAAAGAAGTGAGTCACAAAAACCCATATACTATACCATATACTATATGATTTCATTCATGTGAAAATCCAGAAGAGGGGAATCCATTGAGACAAAGCATAGATTAGTGGTTGTTGAGGCTGGGGTAGGGGGAATGGGAGAATAGGGAGGCTAATAACTAAAGAACTCATGGTTTCTTCTCGAGGTGATAAAAATGTTCTAAAATTGACTGGAGCTAGTCACACACTTCTGTGAATAGTCTAAAAACCATTGAGCTGTACACTTTAAATGTACAATTATACATGTATAATTATAGTATGTGAATTATATCTCAATAAAGCTGGTTTAGTGTTTGTTTGTTTTTTAAAGATTTTATTTATTTATTTGACAGAGACACAGCAAGAGAGGGAACACAAGCAGGGGGAGTGGGAGAGGGAGAAGCAGGCTCCCCACTGAGCAGGGAGCCCCACGCAGGGCTCGATCCTAGGACCCCGGGATCATGACCCGAGCCAAAGGCACACACCTAATGACTGAGCCACCCAGGCGCCCCCGTTTTTTTTTTTTTAAGTCCTTACGTGACTTCATGTCCCTGCATGCTCTAACCTCTGGACCACTGTTCTGATGCCTTTGCTACTACCGAGGAAAGCATTTTAAGCATTCCAGAAAGTGCTCTTGAAAAGAGGGAGTTTAAATTGTGATACTGTATAAAAAAGCAAACAAATTAAAACCTTTACTCTTCTTGGAAGTAGTGGTTGACAAATAAAGGAATTTTTTCAGTCTCTAAATATAATTTTCCCTAAAAAAGTATATATGTAAATCATGAATATGTATCTCCATAAAGCTTTTCAATTTTCTCTCTTAAAATCTTCATTATTTTCTACTACTCAAAAACAATCCTTCCAAATCCCTTTCCTTAGTTAAAATAGATTAATTACATAACTTCTAGAAAGTACTTTGGGAAACATTTTTTTACATTTTTCTCCATACAGTCACAACATTTTCTATACTATCCATCCATTATAAATTTGTTGTAATGTGTAAGGAATACCAACATCTTCCTTTTTTTTTTTAGCTCACACAATTGGTATTACCATGACAACTTACCAGTAGAAGGGTAAAATTGGTTAAATTCTCCTACTATTTTATTTTATTTATAGCATTTAGTTTTTAATGTGTGGCTCTGCAGTTCAGATGAAAATGCAATAGGTTTAAAAGGTTTTTATCATAAAATATATGAATTCTTAAAGTGAAGTAAGTCATCTATCATTTGGATTTGAAAAAAGCAGCAATTAGAGTGATTGCATTAAATAGTATTTTTAACATGAACAGATAAAATTTTCATATTCTTGTTTCATTTTGAAAAGTTACCCATGAGGGGCGCCTGGGTGGCTCAGTCGTTAAGTGTCTGCCTTCGGTTCAGGTCATGGTCCTAGGGTCCTGGGATCCCCTGCTCCACGGGAAGCCTGCCTCTCCCTCTCCCACTCCCCCTGCTTGTGTTCCCTCTCTTGCTGTCTCTCTCTCTGTCAAATAAATAAATAAAATCTTTAAAAAAAAGAAAGAAAAAGAAAAGTTACCCATGAAAAAATGAGCAAAAATCTTTTTCTTTGTAGGTATCAGTGAATGAACTCAAACAATTTTTATCACACATATTGGAACGAAGAAAACTGATTAAAGTGATCTATCAAAGAGAAAATGCCTTAGGAAAAAAGAAGATTCAACGTAAATTAAGAATAAAAGGAATTCAAAATAAAGATCTCTCAAAAAGAAATAAAAATCATTGTAAGTAGGGGCACCTGGGTGGCTCAGTCGGTTAAGTGTCCGACTCTTGGTTTCAGCTCAGATCATGATCTTGGGGTCCTGGGATCAAGCCAGGTCAGGCTCAACACGGAGTCTACTTGAGAATTCTCTGCCCCTCTCTCCACACTCTCTTTCCCTCTCTCTCTCAAATAAATAAGTAAATCTCTAAAAAATCATTGTTAAGTAGAATTCCCTCTACCATGTAAATTAAAAATGACTTCATGTAATCTAAAATAAAATTTTAGAGCTACTTTCTGAGAAGTCTTAGAATATAGTCATAAATATTCATACACACAAAAGCTTTAAATTTTTCAGCTTCTTTTAGATTCAGAATTTGTTCTGATGATAATAAGCAAGGTTGATAATTAGGACTCCTGGATAAAAAAAAAAATGTCCAAAATTATGTGGATAAAACATTTATCAGTTATTCTGCTAATAGGAATACTCAGACTTTAAACAAAACCAAAATTAATATAGTGTCCTTTTTTTTTTTTCTAGTCTAGCAATCTAAATCTCTTCCTAGTAAAGACATAGCCAGTTAGTTGATAGACTTCTCTGGATGCAAGAAGGGTCTAGAAAATATAAACAATGTTTCCATAGCTACTATGTACAGGAGTTAACTGGCCCTCAGTTATAAAATTTAGGAATCATTTCTAGCATTTAAGTCTGTTTCATGAAAGCTTTCTCTTTTATAACAGGTATGTATGAATTGCTATTTTATTAACATCTTATTTAAGAGAGGGAAACTTCTTTGACAGAAAAATTAAGGATATCAGTTTTTAATGGCATTATAAAAATATGTACATATCTTAAATTTATTTTAAATCTAAATCATATGCATTGAAACATTCATTTGACCATTTTTTGACATAGAAATATGACTTGCCTTTTATTTAGCTTTGGTCTATTGATTGGCATTTGTAGTATAAACCACACGCAAATGCATCATCCATGATCTCCCATCTCAAGTTTTTAATGAAACAAGGAACTAAAGACACTTATGGAACAATCTGTGAGCAGAATCCTTCCAGATATTTGCAGACTTTTTCCTCAGTCATTTATAGATGCTTCACGTACAATTAAAGTGGATAATTTTTAATGGCTCTCCTTTATCAAGTTTTCTCACTGGTTTTCAATAACATTATATAGAAACACATTTTCTTTTTGCACTTGTATGTAATCAGTTTACATGGTGGGTTTTTTTTTTTTTTGGTCTATTCTTCTTGTCTTTATTTTTTAAATTTTTTTAAATTTTATTTTATTATGTTAGTCACCATTTATTACATCATTAGTTTTTGACGTAGTGATCTATAATTCATTGCTTGTGTATAACACCCAGCGCTCTGAATTGTGCAAGACTGATGAATTACATGTTTTTTAGTTAAATTCCATAGTTATAAACAGTAAAACTGGCACAGATAGGTTTGGGAACAAACATTCCTGATCTTTGGTAAGCATGCAAGGTGGGGGAACAGAAATGTAAGCGTTTACTAAAGAGAATGCCACATCTGCAAGCATTCGGTATGCTGTGGACATCAGTAAGTAAGTTGGATAGAAGAAATGAAAAGTATTGATTAATTTGGCAAGTAAGGTAGGTAGAGATTGTTGAAGGAGCTTCTGCTGTCTAAAAGAGTAAATAAATGAATCACTATATTGTACACCTGAAACTAATATAAAACTGTATGTTAATTATACCAGAATTTAAAAAATAAGATAAAAAATAAAAGGGAAAGTAGTGCCACCCTTCAAAAAAGTATTTATATGGAAGTGGTTATATTACACCTAAGAATAATAAATAACAAGCTATCTCTAATTAAGCATTTTCCATATTGTTTTAAGTGTTTTACCCAATTTTAAGATAGGTTATATTATCTCTACTTGATAAGATGTGAAACCTGCAGCACAGAGCAATAATTTGCTTAGCATCGCAGAAATTATTTAGTAGGAAAACTAGAATTTGAACTCAGATGGTCTGGTGCCAAAGTCCTCTAGCTTTTAGCCATTATGCCATATGCCTCTCACAAAAGTAAGCTAACAATATCGAGAAATTTTAATCTCATGCTTCTCAATATGGCTTTGAGCAAATATGGAACTATATGATAAAGATGATGCAATTTCCTGAGCACCAAATTTACTTGAAGGTTTAAAATGGAGGTAAATAACAGCAAATAGTTGAAAACATCTTTATTTTAGAACTAACAGCTATAATGTATGCAAGAGATGTCAAAATTCATATTTTGATATCATACCTAAGACTTCAAAGACATGCCTTCCTGTTTTCCAGACCTCTAGAGAATGTACATGCATTCATCACAGGCTATCTAAATGTCCCAAGGACATTTAAGAAGCCCTGTCTTATAACAATCATAATATCCATTTCTGAAGATTTACATAAATCAGAAAATGTTTCTTTCTGACAGAAGTACATCTAGAAAGGTGATCATGGCTAATAAGGGCAACAGATAGAAATTGAGAACTAAGGGATTCCAGAGGAGAGAGAGATTAGTTTTGGAGCTGGAAGCACTCATTGATTCTAGTTGATAATTTTTTTATGAGAGTCTTGCTTTGATAAAGATTTTTAATTTTTCTAATCTTAACATCTTAAGAGTATTTTCCTCCACATTTACTCCAAAAGACTGCTTCACTGCTCAGTTGAAGAGTTCTGGATATGACATAAAAATGTTGATATGTGTATTAACTTGAAGTATCAAGTAGAGTTCTGACAGGAAGCAAATGGCACATTTAAACTGAGTCATTTGAGACAAGTTTAATAAAGGGTCTATTTCTAAAAGTGTAGACAGGATGTAAGGAAACTGCAAAGTAATCCCCAGGCTAGTAACATCAATGGCGCTAGCACCCCTGGGCCTGAAGGGTCACAGGCAATAGTGGCTACTAGAACACTGGAAAAGAAACCAAGAGGTATGTTGGAGAGAGCTCTCTAATAGAACTATGACCTCAGGACAAGGGATAAAGCCAGCCCGCAGCAAACCAGATTGGGAAGCCAGGGAATAAATATCCCTGCCTTACTCTCTTCCCTTCATACTTCCTGCTGGTGCCTTTCAACCTAATCAGAAGCTGGAGGGGAAGGGAGCCCACTGATGCAGTCCATATGGGTTAGTGTCCCAGGGCATAGAGCAGGATGGAGTGGATCTAGAAAGACGAATAAGTAGACATGCAACACACCGGGTTTTCTAGACAAGGGAAATTAGCATGAACTACAAGTATGAGGACTTTGAGCAGCATACAATAGAAGCATAGGTATTAAAAGTGAAATTACAGAATCTTATAATTAACTGGGGAAATTTGGAGGTTATCTAGTCTAATATCTTTCATCAGATATTTATGGCAGCTCCTAGGTAGATGTCTGTGACTAAGCTCACAATATCATAAAACACAACTCATGACATTATTTAATACATTTATTTCTTATAGAGTTATTAACATTAAACCAGAACCACTTCCTAACAGTGATCTTAGGTGTTAGTCTGTATTAAATTATGGCAGTGGGAGCTGGACAGAACAACCCCTCTATGGACTCCTCCACTGGAGTTGTTGCCCTCCCTCCCCAAAAAGTGAAGCTTGTGCATATTGTTTCTAAGATCCTGTTTGTTGTTTGGGGCACCCACTCACAGTGATGATTCTTAACAAGCTTAGAGCAAATTGAAATCTTTTTCTCACCTAAAAGTACTAAGCCAGTGTATCAGTCAGGGTTCAACTAAAAAAAAAGAACCAGTAGGAGATATATATTAAAGAATTTATTACAAGGAACTGGCTGATTTGATTGTGGGAGCTGGCTAGGCAAGTCCGAATCCATAAGGGAGTTTGTCAAGAAGAGCAGGCTGGAACTCTCTGGAAGGAGCTGAATTTTTTCTTCTTCAGGGAAACCCCAGTACCATTCTTAAAACCTTTTAACTGATTAAATCAGGCAAACCCAGCTTATCTCCTTTACTTAAAGTCACCTGCTTGTGGGTATTAATCACATCCACAAGATACTCTCACAGCAACAACTAGATTAGTGTTCGATGTAATAACAGGAGTGTAGCCTAGCCAAGTAGACAGATAAAATTGACCATCATAGCCAAATATCTCCTAATCTGTATGTTTTCATCTAAATTTTTGAATCTAGGTATAAGATTTTACACTGATGTCTATTAAATTTCATTGTGTTCACTTTGGACTATTCCAACCTATCGATTACATCAATTAATTCATCAGTTATCCTCTCCTAGTTTTCTGTCACTCAAAATTTTGATATGCCTTCCAATCTTTTACTCAAGTTTTTCTTAGAGGAGTTAGCAAGATAGGGCCAAGTTTAGAGCTTAGAGCCCACAATAATCTACCATAAATCTCTAGAATTATATATACTCCTTGATCAACCAGGTAAAAATCTACATATGATGAGGTTGAGAAAATAAAACCTTATTTACCAGAATGCCTTGTACAGTATGTTATGGAGATGCCTTAATAAGTATTTGTGGATAGAAGGTAGGCAAACATCCCTTCCTGATCCCCCACCTCCAGCTCCTCACAGAGACCTGGTGTCAGCTGATTCCAAGTATTCATACATGGAAAGAAATTGCACTGCAGATCCAGGGAGAAGAATTTTGTTATTTTTGCAAGAGTGAAAAGAAAAGAGAATGGGAGAACAAATATGGAGAGAGCAGACATAAGGAGCCAGAAAGATGGTTATTGATTGTGCTAACAAGAAACCAGTAAAACTCCAAAGTTGGGAACCCAATTGATATTTTAAAATCAGTGATGCCTAAGATGACCATTAAAGTTGTTTTTGTTCTTGGAATTAATCATCTTTGCAATCTGCTCTATGAAATTGTTGGTAAAAATCTATATTCCTAATTAATGCTTTTCAAGAGTGAAGATTCTTTTGGGACAACTTGAAGAGCTGTTGGTTTCACTGTGGGTCCATGTGAGACAGTCCAGGAACAGTACCTCTGGAATCAGGA